AATCAACCCGCACAGCCATACCCAGCACCAGCACAGCCGTACCCAGCACCAGCACAGCCGTACCCAGCACCAGCACAGCCGTACCCAGCACCAGCACAGCCGTACCCAGCACCAGCACAGCCGTACCCAGCACCAGCACAGCCGTACCCAGCACCAGCACAGCCGTACCCAGCACCAGCACAGCCGTACCCAGCACCAGCACAGCCGTACCCAGCGCCAGCACAGCCGTACCCAGCACCAGCACAGCCGTACCCAGCACCAGCACAGCCGTACCCAGCACCAGCACAGCCGTACCCAGCACCAGCACAACAGCAGCCAGCACCAGCACAGCCGTACCCAGCACCAGCACAGCCATACCCAGCACCAGCACAGCCGTACCCAGCACCAGCACAGCCGTACCCAGCACCAGCACAGCCGTACCCAGCACCAGCACAACAGCAGCCAGCACCAGCACAGCCATACCCAGCACCAGCACAGCCGTACCCAGCGCCAGCACAGCCGTACCCAGCACCAGCACAGCCATACCCAGCACCAGCACAGCCGTACCCAGCACCAGCACAGCCATACCCAGCACCAGCACAGCCGTACCCAGCACCAGCACAGCCGTACCCAGCACCAGCACAGCCATACCCAGCACCAGCACAGCCATACCCAGCACCAGCACAGCCGTACCCAGCACCAGCACAGCCGTACCCAGCACCAGCACAGCCGTACCCAGCGCCAGCACAGCCGTACCCAGCACCAGCACAGCCGTACCCAGCACCAGCACAACAGCAGCCAGCACCAGCACAGCCATACCCAGCACCAGCACAGCCGTACCCAGCACCAGCACAGCCGTACCCAGCACCAGCACAGCCGTACCCAGCACCAGCACAGCCGTACCCAGCACCAGCACAGCCATACCCAGCACCAGCACAGCCGTACCCAGCACCAGCACAGCCGTACCCAGCACCAGCACAACAGCAGCCAGCACCAGCTGAGAAGCAGCTGAAGCAAACACAGCAGCAACCATCACCAGCGAAGCTGATGCAAACATCAAACATCTAAGAACATCGTGTGTAGAGTGTACAGTTATAATTAGTGTTAAATTTAAATGCATAGTGTTAGTGTTCAAATCAAGGTTGCAGTACAGTAATTTTAGTGTAAAATAGTTTTCATGAAGTGTACTGTAGTACTCAACATACAGCAGAACTACTTATCAATACAATGCTAACGGCATAATACAGTACAGTACGTATTTACTGTACAGCATTCACAACTCCATGAAAATTCAAGATGGACATAACTCCAACAATAAGATAAATAACAATTGTAACAGTATTATTTAGTCGAGTAGCAATATATATATACAGGTACAGTATATAATATGATAATGGATTTTTATTGTTTACAAGAAGAGAGAGACACTGATGCAAATGCCTCTTGAAGGTCACCTCTTGCAACGAATCCAACGCACTGGGATTGGTCCCATATAATGCATTGAATCGAGGTTGTACTGTAATGCATTTGTAATAATAATTGCTTGTTATTGTAAGCATGGTAATTTTACAAATTCACAAAGCAGGGAGGAAAAAATAAAGCATTGTGCTTTCTTAATCCCTTAAGAGATAGCAGCCATGAGAAATATTTAATATAGTATTGGTTTAAAAAGTTTTCATTAGAATGAAAAACAAGCCGAGTTGGAGGTTTTCTTTGAAAGCTTGTTAATTCAACATTTGCCACTTATCCAAAACAGTGTTTGGATCATTTGATGAGTTGGAAACTGATTTGTTTAAATTATCCAGCAGTTTGAACAACAGTCTGGATCATCAAGAGTAGACTGTACATCTTCAGTATACTCTATATACAAGGATGAAGAGGGTGTGCATGTAGACATTGCATTACTTACCCAAGAAAAATAAAATCTAGACCAGTATCCCCATTGAATTTCCTTACATAATTTTATCCTTTTTATTGTGGCCACTTACAAAATAGCATTTACAATGTTATCTACATATAATTACAGACAAGTAATGCTACTTGCACCAGATGTTACAGAAGTTACCGAGTCCTGTGGAGAGGCAAGTAATAAGGCAACATCCTAATGACAGTTCACATTGACATCAAAACGTCACTATATTCCTCCTAAATAATCAGGAATCATACTTAAAATATTGATAAATAAAAAAAATCCTACATTTGGATTAATCTAATTACTATCGTAAAAGAGAAAATAAAAATGATTTGATCTTGCCATGAAGAATCCACTACTAATTTTTAATTTTCACTTTAAGAAGCCTTAAGCCTTTAAAATACAAAAAAATAACTTATTAGCTTTCTATCAACTGTTCATTATCTGATACACCTTGCCTAAACAGCATCTACCATTCTCAATCACACTGAAACCACAATGCCTTCAACAAGTAGAAGAAAACAAATGACAACTAACAAGTCTCAACTCTCAAGAGGAATGAATACCCCAAGTAAGCTTTCTTAGAAAAGAGGGGGGCACATATGTTAATATAATTAATTATAAATATGACTATCTTGTCTTGTTAAGGGAATTTTATCCTTTATTATTCCCAAGTTAATAACTTTGAATTAAACCAATGCAAAGTTTAAATTCCAAAGCCTAGTATTATGCTCTGCTTTAGGAATATTACATATTAAGACACTTTCTATGTACATCAAACTTTTTTGTTCGCTATACCTTTCATCATGATTAGGACTACTATAATCTACTTACTCATTTATTACTGGATAGTGGATTCATTTCAAGTATGAATCTACAATGAAAATTGTGTTATATGGGGGGTAAAGTCACTGGTCCTTGGCCAAATACGATACACTTTGATTTCGTAAGTGAAATCAAATACATCTTTAATAACTTTCTGGAAAAACCTTGTGGTATAAATTTAAAGAGAAATTGATCTATGAAATGAGACCACACTTGAGACTGGATACAGTACACGCTGAAGTAGCAACCATGTCAATGACCCAATACTTCAGCTCGGTCTATGATCGCTGCCTCCTTGACATTGGTGGTCAACCAAATTGTAGTATCGCTCATTTTTTGTATAGGTCTCGCCAATATAAACATGTTATGGTGTATTTAATCTACAGTACTTAAGCAGGCGATGAGTCACAATAACGTGGCTGAAGCATGTTGACCAGACCACACACTAGAAGTTGAAGGGACGACGACGTTTCTAGTTTTACAGTACTTAAATTTGTAATACTGAACTGTATATTTAAACAGTTTCAATATTCATCTACAACACATCATCCAATATCAAGTTACCTTGTATTGGAGTCCTCTCTAAAGGTACTGTACCTAGGACTACAAATACAGCATTACATAACCTGCCGATACTGGATTACTTTACATGAATATTAAAATACCTTTAAAGATATCCTACTTAAAGCTCGAGATCATAATACTCCATATAAACCTGCAAAGTTTAAATGATAATTACCAGGTACAGTACTGTTCACCCATGTTTAACCTTATCAAACCTCTCACATCAGGTCCTGTATAAATCCCTCAATCAATTTCGCAAAAACTTGGGACCAAAAATTGGGACTTATGATTGTTCACAATGCTTAAACCTACGGCTTCTTTTTAGGTCTCCTCCTCACTTGCACATGCAATCATAGAAATGCACGTTTAACGAGTTTGAAATTTATCTATATTTATAATATTTGAAATTTATATATATGCAATGTTTTAGCCGACAGTTTTTCCTTTACTAGCAGTGGCCAACGACTGATGACTTTACCTTACATATTAAACAAACTGGAGGTAAAGTAATATTCCCTTGTCTGTATAAAGAAAGCGAAGGAAACGTAACAAATATCCGAGTCAGGAGGAACATTACACGAGTACATTTTTAGGGAGGAGAATTGTTGGGTCAACTTGAAACTCTTCCTCTCACCTTTGTGCACGACTTGCAACTAACCCTGTCCCTTGTGTACGTTGAAAACAGGGCCTTGAACAATAAAAATTAACTATTTTTAGGGGGAAAGGGAAGAGAGGGGAAGGGGGCCCCCCCGAGGAGCCTGGGTTGACTGATTAGCTAAACATATAACTGAGAAACTAAAAGAATCACTGCTTCATCTGTGATAAGATCATCGACCGATGATGTGGTGAATTGATTTGTATCATCAATAACGTCAGCCTCTAATACTGCAGACACCTCATAACTACTGTTACTATTTGTTTACATACAGAGCACGCACTCTTAATATTTAAAAAACAAAAATGTAAATAATAAATAAATAAATAAATGAAAATAAGATCACACAATTCTCACGATAGTGTGGCAATTATAAAAAAATGTATCAAAATACATATCAGTTCTCCAAATCACAGGTACAATTCCTTCTATTATGCTATAATAACTATTCCTACACTGTACTGAAAATGAAAACATAATTAAACAAATGAAGCTCTATGCGAACATCACATCACATCCTGCAACTCTTCAGTGCCTTAAGCTTAGTAATGAAAGATACCTACATAAACATTGCTAGTTTATATTTAGTCATTACTGAGAATATGAGAATTATAATATTCTGTACATGCTACTTTGTTCAATCTTAGAACAAGTCATAAACACTAGCCGCTGGCAATTTTCATTCCAAAATTAGTTTTCGAAATATGCATTAGTTTTACAATACAATTATGTATAATTACTTTAACTAATTTATTGCACTCACAGTACTGTAATAGAGGAAAAATAGCAACACTAGGTTAAATAAAGTCACAAAAATTACACTTTTGCAACAAATTTCTGAAGTTTTTCCAAAAAATGTGATAAGCAAACTATAATCCAGAAAACTATTAGAACAGAAAATTGCCATCTTCCAAGACACTTAACATATTCCAGAAGAGTACCAACACTGAAACAGTTATATTTTGTTTGCATTATTGATATACAATAATAATACCCAAAAATTTGATTCCAGCTCCCTTCATATAACTGAAGGAGCAAGACCCTAAATCATAGATGTGTACTTACTTGGAAGGCAGAATAACGACCACCCTTGCGGGGACGGTTATACGAGGGCAGGTGACGACGAATGAGGTCCAGTTCGTTGATGTGAAGAAGGTTGTCCATAAGCAACGATGTGATGATCCACACGCTCTGACCCCATAGGAAGAGGTTGTTTGGAGTACCTTCAACACTTGGCTGGCGATACTGAAAGTCATTCATAAACAATTTAAAACAAATTGCCAACAAACTATTTAAACAAATCCAATGAATATATAAAATAATTTACTCCTTAGCAAAAAGTATTTAGCAGCTAAGTAGGAAAAAACTACTCTGTTACCAAATGTGGATGTACACAATTTCTTTATACAATAATGGAAGCTTTCTCCATGGTTGTAAAGCAAAGCATGAAATTATTTAACATCTAAATACAATCTTGCAATTTGTGAACTCTGTTTATCTGCAGAGTCAAGAACAGAGTTGACACATTTAGGAATAGCAAAACACTATACAGTACTATAACCGAAATAAACTACAGTACATAGTCTTCAAACTTGTTAAAAACGGCAACACGTTAACTCAGTCTTACTTATGCCAGAGTATTTTGTTATTCCCAGTTAAGAGACTTTAGTCATCTCTTCCTGTGCACAAGAAAACCAATAATGCTGGTACCAACCTGGGAACCTGGGTCAGCCTTCTCATCCTCAACACTGTCCTTGTGAATGAAGTAATACATGGGTATCACTGGATCTGTAGGCCATGTACAATGATTAAGTTACTTGCTGATTATAAAACACTTTTCACCAGATTTTTCTTATGTCAAAGGTTCATATTTATGCCATTACGTTAAAGCAAGCATTTTCACATACCAAAACTTAAAGACTCTTGTATTTTACCTAAAGTTAGTTCCATCATGAAGACTACTTTTATATGTTATGACTAGAGTATATACAAATAATTATATTGTTTGCACAGAGTAATAAAACCACTAGCTATCAAAATGATATGCAAGTTTAATATGTTGTGTGATAAAAAATATCTATACTTGTCTAGGCTCACAGGTGATACTGATGACGCAAGAAGTGATTGCATTAGTGCAATGCAAGGATATCTATATTATTAGCTACACTAAATAAGTGGCTGGGTTGTAACATGGAGAGAATTTCAAAGTATTTTATTTGACAGTACTGTAAATAATGAGGTTTGAAGGCTACTACTGGGAAAGTAAATACATTTGTATCGAGAGGATTTTTTGTAAAGCTCTTCCTAGCAGCTCACTGTGGAATAAGTATGTAGGATAGGTACAGAAATGAAAACGTATACGAGATATGTTATGCAAGTGAATGGGGCGAGGGAATGAAAATGTGGATCAAGAGGTCAATAATTATCATGGAAAGCACTATGGCAAATGTTTGGAATGGGAAGGATGCAGGTGTATCAGTTAACAAAATGGGTGAATAAGTATTAGGGATATAGATAGCAAAGTAATTATGAAAGGTAGGCACCGAGCTATGGAGACTGTAGTGGAGATATAGACAGATAAATGAAAACATCCCTCCCTGGCTGCTATGAGAGGGAATATACTTGAACATTTACCATCATTAATACACATTCATAGAGGAGATATTGTGTACACTTAGCACCTTCCTGAAAATCTTGTGTAACTATAAGTAGCCGTAATAAAACAAACACAAAGTCATACAGTACCTCCCCACTTGTCTCGCTTGAGCAGGGGCTTCAGCTTGTTCTTGTACTCTTCTATTTGTTGTTCATTAGTCTTGAACATGCCTTCAAGGATCATGTACAAGTAGAATAGAGGCCACTGACATTCTATCTTCTCAAATTCCTGTTTAAAAAGTAAACTGTAAATAAAGGAGGACCACAATTCTACAAAAAACAAAACAGGACATTAACAAAAATTACACTTCCTCTTTCACAAGATGAAGGGACGGGGGAACTGAACTAGTCCCAGAGTGAACGGAAAAATATTGTAGAAGAGGATTAATTTATTTTGTACACCGTTTTCTTCAAGCGTAACTTACATGTACTATACATGTTTGGGAAATGTCACCTATACCCATCCTTAAATGATTAAAATTATAACCACCTTAAATTAATTATATCTCGAGGCTTTAGAATTATTTACGGAACAAATATTTTATAGGTTAGGATACACTGTCTGGAATTGTATGTTTATTGTAATTCATTATACAATAGTAGCTAAGGTTCCCTTTACCTTTGTCTCTGCACTGTGATAAAACCTCCTCTTCTTGTCTTCTAAAACCGTTCCATAACCATCTCGATGAAATCTCTTAAAGCCATATTTGCCTTCCAGAGAATTTATAATCTATTAAATGAACAAATTATTAATGTAAGAAATGGTATAAACAAATCATGCATGCACATATATACTCTCTGTATACACATATTGACAATAATAAAAGTTATTACTCCTCCATGGCTGTAATGATACTCAGGCTTAGACAGAAGTGTAATATTTAAGATATTCAAGATTTACACATTTCAGATTAAAGATTAGGCTGGAAATCTACATATTGAATAAGGATATTCTTATCTCCCCAAAAGTATAAAACTCATTAAAATAAAATATATTGGCAAGAACATGGCAACCCATTTCATATATACAGTATTTAAATTCACTAATTTCATTATCCACAAGCTGAACATACCTACTGGAGCATCCCTAAATGGATGCCAGTTGCCAAGACAAGATATGACAGATGCCAGTGCAGTCATATCCAAGGCCACTCACCTGAGTTCTAGTTCTGGTGTAGAGCATTTGGTCATGAGTTGCAAAAGCAGGGAAGGATATGGTACACAAAAGGCTTGCATCCACTTGCTACAACGACAACAAAAAACATAATTTTAATACAAGTGTTTTTGTAAATGGGAAGATTACTCAAGATTCCTGTGAAAATCATTAACATTTCATACTTTCATAAACACATTACATAAACTCATTAATCAACAATGATATCAAAAATTACAATTTCATAATCATCTACTGTATGAACATGACAAAGTGGATAAAGTGAATGAACTAGAGAAACAATCAAGTTTTAGAGAGACTTTTGCCAAAATAATCATTGCAGATGTGCAGTCAAATATTTTGAAAGATACACGAGTAAACAAGGTTATGGACTTAGCCTGGTGAATCACCAATGCATCTCCAATGAGCAATAACTGAACGTAGAGGAATCTTTACAACTACGTATTTCACTTGAAGGTTAAAAGGGTGCCCTTAATTCGATTCATCTTGTATTTTATATTAATAATGAAAGATGAGGAGGAGGAAGGAGCAGAAAGGGGGCTAAGGAAACATGAAAGAGGAAGTGGGAGCAGAAGTATGAATATGAAAGAGGAGCAGCTGGGAGAAATTGATGAAAGGATGAACTAAAGAATCATAGGCAAATACCTTTGAGCTTGATTCCCTTGGTAACAGAGTTTCGAAGATGCTGCGGTTGCGATTGTGTGCATCAATATCAACAAAGATGACAGACCACGAAGCACCTTTCTCTCCAAAAAGATTACAGCCATTTATAGCTTCAAGGGCTGCTTTGGCCATCCCGATAGAACTGTTAATAAAAAAAAAATTATGAAGCTTTTTAATAAAATGGATTTTACGATTGAATGGAAAGTTCCTGTCTGAGCAAGACACTTTTATACTTCCAAAAGCAAGATCTAGTCTCATTGGACAAATAATCCTAGAGTGGCCTCTTAAAAAGATTCAATCACACACTGTTTTGCAAGTATTGCTCAGGGAATGAATCAAGAAAGACTTTCCACTGTCTTCCAGTCCCAACTACAGGAAGCCAAGGCCACTTGAAAATTTCCTATCATGGTGGGACAAAATGTGATCTGGATCTTGTTGTAAAATGGATCTTGTTGTAAAATGGATCTTGTTGTAAAAAGTGTCGTATGTGGACTTTTGCCATGGCTAAGGAGGCAACCGAGGAACTAGTCAGAAAGGAGAGTTTTATTCCATTTACTGCTTATACTACATGGAATAAATTGGGTATGTTTCCTATGATAATGAAACTTGAATTCAGAATCCTTCATAAAATTTCTTTGAAGGTTTTGCATGAAAAAAAAAAAATCCCTACATATTTTTACACAACATTGATCAACAGTGAAAACAGATTGAAGGCCACAACTATTACCTAGCATGTAGCTCGGGGGTGCCATTGTTGTACTTGCTACCACGTTCCCACATCCCAAAGTCTGGAGTGCGGTATGCTCTCTCCACGTAGTACACCAAATTTTGAACAAATGTCACTTCATCCATTGTATATATAATTTGTAGTCCAGAATTTATCATTTGTACCAGGAACAGCAAGTAAAGGGAAACTACGTCTATCTGAAATACAAGAGCCCTCAAAAGTAAAGAAAGTGAATTACACAACTGTATATTGAATCCACTCGGCACACTTCTCATACAAATATACCCAATACATATAACAAGTAAAATCAAACATGTACAGTATATACAGCTGCCTATAAGCACCATTACAAGTTACACAATTCCTCCACTACAACATTATACAGGTACAGAGTGATGCACACCCTAAGTCAGAAAATAATCTGTTCCTATTGTAAATTACAACCTACCTGAAGATGGCCATAATTTTCAGATGATATAACCTCCTCTCCTGTTATCAGATGAAACTTAGAGTGTAATGCATATTTAGGATTTTGGCCCTTCTTGAAGTTTTCTACGTGAGATGTTTGCCGCATCCAGCACGTAATTATTCCACGCATACACTTGACACACGACTGGCCTAGTTCGTATGCCTTACCACGATCGTCATCAATACGTCTAAGAAGAAAAACTATTTTACATTTTGACATACTAAAATATATTTGTGTTGGGTTCATAAATATGAGGTAAATATAAACATTTATTGAAGGTTACACATTTCAATAGACATGAAATCTTGAGGAGATATTACTACATTTGATGAGGTTACTCATTTTAACAAGACAAGTTGAACAATGTGTGCCTTGCAAAAAATCTTGCAAATACTGTACTGTAAAAGAAGATTTGACTAAAAATTGCACAACCACTTCTCAACCTACGAAGCTCTACAATTTCTTTCGGTGTAACACATTTTACAAACTATTTTACTTTAAGTTACAAGGCAAGTACAGTACCTGAATTAAGAAGACCAAGCTATGAGGATATGTTAAGAAAAACCAGCCTAAGAGGAAAGAAGCAAAAAAGGTATGATTCCAATGTAGAAAACACAGTGGGGGAAATAAACAAGGTGCACAATAACAGCCACTTTCAGAGAAAGAGAGGATACAATGGATGTCGGTGATGGTCGAAAAGGCAAGCGAGTCAAAGAAACGTACGAGTGTGCTGTACTCTTACTTTGTATGGGTGGCCAACAATAGGAATGCTCTGAAAGATGCCATAGATGCCACTCCAATCCACAACTTCAAAAGCAAATATAAGATAGCCCTCAAATGTCAAAAATTTAAAAGTGCACCAGGTACAAAAAGCTAGGAGGCACCCGGCCTCCTAGCCACCGACAGTTAAATGCTATTAGGCAAGCACTGCACTACAGAACTGCTTTCAGCCTAACCCCACACTACAGCTCCCTTGTGGCATACAGACCCTACATCCTTCTTTCACCCAACCAGGATCTGCAACCCATTTTCATCTTGTGAGGATCTATATAAAATAAAGTAATTATCAAAGGAAGGCACCAAACCAGGAAGGCTATGTAGCACCAAAAATAAAATGTCTAAGCAAAACTGGTACTGAATCAATCACATTCAGATATAGCCCTCATTTTATTGATTTAACATTCATTAATAAGGAGGTGAAGAAAAGATCAAATACTTGTGCAAGTGTATTATTAAACAGCATTTTCAGATTAACCTACATCTTTTATCAAGGTGTAAACAGTGATTTTTACACCACCTTGATAAAGAATGTAGGTTCATCCAAAAATGTGGTTTAATAATATACAGTACTTACACAAGTATCAGGTCTTTTCTTCACCTTCATTCAAGCACTATGGTATTGTAGCAAGCTTCTCCAATCATTACTTTATAATGAATCACTGTTTCAAGATAAGGTCACAAAGAATTTTAAAAAGAATAATTTGTCACCTGTATGCCTGGAAGAGACTCCAAATAGACGCAGCACAATAAATCGTAGTGCGAATATCTGCCACTTCCTTTTCCTGGCTGACCAATGGGAAGATTCCAAGAGTGATACTTTGGTTTTGAAGTAGTTGTCGTTTTACTATTGGAAAGAAAAAAGATGTAACAAAATATGCCCATCACCCTTGTTTACTTGACATTAATGAACAGAGATTTTGTTCTACAGTGTACATGCAATAAGATAATGTGTAGGTATTTATTAAAAATAGCCAACCCTTCATTTTGTCCAGATTTATAGAAAACAGAAAGATTGTTATACATTCCTGTTTGTTTTATTTTTATAATAATCATAATATATATAATTCCTAGTGATGGTTACCTCGAGGTGCTTCCAAAGAACATTGTTTCTACGGCTCTGAGACCAGGCCTCTTTACTTGGCAGTCTGGTCAACCAGGCTGTTAGACACTGCTGCTTGCAATCTGACAAATTACAGCCCAAATGATCAAGTACTCTTTGGAGGCATTTATCCAGTTTCATTTTTAACACCGAAAAACAACAAATAAGACACAAGATTTCCAAAAATTTCAGTTTGTGAAAATCAGGAAAAGAAAATGTGGAGGCCTTTAAGGCTGTGTTGTACTACAAAAGCATACCATGTGGTGAATATTTAATATCATTATGATAATAGTCTCATCACCTGGGACATTGTCAAGTCTGTTTCTAAATCATTCTGTCTTTCCACATGGAAGAGTCACACCCAGATTTTAAAAACTTAAACCCAAAAGTTTAATATTTGTTTATAATGCAACACCGACCTTCATTACTGTGCTTGATCAATTATTTATAATTCTTGGTTTTCTGTATTTTTTCTAATGTAATTTTGTTCATTATCCAACTCACTCCTCTCCCACACTAATTCATTGTCATTCATTTCTTCTCACTCCCTCATTCATTCACCTCTCTTTGACTCACTCATTCCCTTTCTAAATATATTTCCATTACTTCTCTACCTCACTTATTCAACTCCCCTCCCTCACTACTCATACACACCATGGATTAGTTAGCTGCATTTTTTAAGCATACAGTATATATATATACAGTACACACACACACCTATATGACTATGTATGCTCAGACATTTTCTTTACCCTCAGGCCATATCCTGTATATAGAGTGAGTGTACTCGCCTATTTGTGCCTGCAGGATCAAGCATTGACTCTTGGATCCCCGCCTTTCTAGTCATTGGTTGTTTATAGCAATGACTCCAGTCCTATTTCCCTATCATATCTAGTTTTAAAATTATGAATAGAATTTGCTTCCACAACTGGCTCCTTAAGTTTATTCCATTTTTCCACTACTCTCACGCTAAAAGAAAACTTCCTAACATTTCTAACTCATCTGAGTTTCCAGCTTCTTTTAGTGTGTATTTTCAGTACATACTTTTTCTAAAACAAAAAAATTTACTGTGTAGTTTTACAGTGCACAATGCCAATGAGACATTCAATTTTACAATTTACTAAATAACACAGTATATTTATTATTTATTTATGCAATAAAATTCATGGCCTGGATATAATCTCATTTAACCTATAATGTCCTAAATTTTTTGAGAGACTTCCAGGATTGCAGTGTAAAAAAAAAAAAAAAAAAAAAAAAAATTGGAGCCTACTGTACAGCACGATTAATGAAAATGCTATAAAATTACAACACAAGACTGCATTTAAGATACAGTGCACACATTATGAACTTCTTACCAATGCCATAGTAGTGATCAAGCTTGCGAACAGTGTCGTCATAACTTATGACGCGAAGATTTACATCTATGTCTGAATCACAACAGCTAGCAGAACGCGCTCTTATCCGCGATTGTCTGAAAATGAACACAGTACAATATTATAATATGATTGACCCAATAATACCCACCAATCATTTCACATTACAGTACTTTAAAAAATTTTGAATATTTAAAAGTAATTAGTAATAATGTACAGTTCCTGACCATACATCACTACTGCCATAGTGTCTCCCAAGATGATACTTTATTACCCCAAAATCATATTTGCCTCCTCCAATTCCATGATAACACTCTTAAATCATCTTAATTCTTTCTAGTTTTGCCAGTCTAGTAAAGCCCTTCATGTGCTGAGCATTAATTTGTTGATGGTATCCATGTCCCAATATGCTAAATACAGCCAGCTTCCTGACAGTTTTGTCTAATTTGTTCACATTTTTATCAAATCTTTGTTTATGAGAGGTTGTACTGCATTAAAGTTTCTTTTTTAATTTAAAAATGTGTTTCATTAACAAACCATTAAAGATGGAGCCCAATGAAATTGTTAAAATGAATTTCTTCATCCATAGGCCTAGCCTATATTCAGAATAACATATTTTACATGCTCTCCGGAACATTGAGAATACAACAAGATTTCTTATCTACTTTATCACAATCGAAGAACCTGGTATAATCCTGGGCAGGACAAATATGGCTGGACACATTTCATTTCACATGATGCTTCTGTTCCCTTAGCAGTTAAATAAGCACCCTGTAGTTATGAAATTGATATGGATTGCATCCTGAAGGTCAGTAATTGGCCAAGCCCATGTGGGACCTCAGTAAGCACAAGCACAGTATAGTCTTCCTTTCCCCAACAATGGAAATTACATAATGAATTTCACTTAGCATAGAAGAGCGAAGACTTATGTAGATTAATTTAACAGTTTCATTAATATGTGAGAAAAGTATGCAAAAAATTAGCTATGATGATGAAGAGAAGAGAATTTTATGTATGAAATTAGTGAATGGAGAAATGCTAGTAGTAGTTGTTCAGTTTAAAGACTGTACTTCGAATGTATGATTGATAAGAGGAATTTGTGCAAGTAGGGAACGAAAGGAAGTGGCTGGTGCAATAAAGGCCCTAGTTAGGAGAAATAAATTATAATCTTTTACAGAGTATGGAATGGCATTAACTCTGGTGATGCACAAGTAGAAAAAAGAATTAGATATATATTAAAAAATTTGGACTATGGTGACTTGTGGACTACAGCAGCCTGTGGCTAGCAGCGGCCTCCAGAGTACAGCAGCCTGTGGCTAGCAGCGGCCTCCAGAGTACAGCAGCCTGTGGCTAGCAGACTACAGCAGCCTCCAGAGTACGGGAGCCTGTGGCAAGCAGACTACAGCAGCCTGCAGACTGCACTGGGCTGTGGCAAGCAGCCACCCTAGAATAACAGCAGCCTGCTGCAAGCAGCCGCCTGTTAATTGCAGCATCATGCAAAACTTAACAAGAATGGGCTTTGCAACGATTGACATTTATACCCACGGCCCAGTGAGGAAATAGTACACCCAAAGTAACCACTTAAAGAGATGACAGAATATGCCTGCAGTACTGACGGTGAAGGGACAGCCAGGGAAGCCATGGCGTGAGAGTCTAGGAGGTTGTCGTCGCCTGAAGAGGAGGAAGGATGCGAGTGTATAGTACTGCAAGAAGACCTCCGGCCTCCTCGACCTTCCTCAACTCTCAATGTCAACATTCCTCTTAAATACTCCCTCCGTAACAGACAAATTCCTCACCTTTCTTCAACACCGGACACATTGGCTTCATAAATCACAATCTACATTGTTACCTCTTCTATATGAATATGAGAAATATAATTTTTATATCGATCTTTTTGTAAATAATGATTGAAGATCCACTACATGATCTGTATTTAATTATTTATCAAAGAAAATGGCAGAGTAAAGAGGAGGAACTCAAGCTTGTTTTGTGAAAGCCATTTAATATATATATGTATTCAATTCAATCTATAGGAAAGTGTATAGGACTTATGTGCCATCATTTACGGCATTGATGTGTGTAAAGACACATTAACTTGTAAGCCCTATATTGGGAAATAACTGTAATTTTCTTACGCGATCATTACATAACGCAAGTCACATCAAAAGTTTTTATATACAGAATAAATGGAAAGTTATCAAAATTTTAAAATAATAAATGACTGAACAACTAGTTCTTGGGCAAGCAGCAGCCCAAGGACACGAGTGTGCCAAAGAAACTCTTATATAAACCGGCACAATCCCTCTGCCGGAGAGGCATTAATATCCTCGACCTTACCCTATACCAACAGATATTTCACTCTCGACATCCTTGTCCCTTCCCTCGTGCGTGATTGACACATGTTTGGTCGTCTCAGGTGTGGCAGATAGCGATCTCGGCATGTTTCCCGCGAGCCAAGGAGTGCCAGAGGTGAGGTGTCAGCAGTAGCGGTCCTCGCTGAACACTGCAGACTGACTGACTGACTGCTGACCTCACCCTCCTCGTTCCTTAACCTCGTCTAGCACTATCAAATTGTTTAAATACCGTCACTGTAAAGCCTTATATATATGATATTTACGCATCTATATAAATGTAACAATGTATTACTATTCCGTCTATATAAAGAGGCGAATGTTATTGATTATACTACATAATTCAGACGTTACTGTATTGATTTCAACTTTTCACAGTGACCTCGACCTTGCTACACATTCACAGTATGTATGGAAATATGTATCAATCTTCAGAAAGCTTTACTTTTCAAATATTTGTATAATAATAATATGTATAGACAAATATTACATAGCGTATGAATACAATAATCAAACGCGGTTGTTAAACAATACGTGGTTGTTAAACGATTCAGCGGGTCGTATTCCGGGGAAAATTAGAATTAAGGACTTATGTCTTACGTCGCTATTACATGTATATATATATATTACATGTACATTACATGTATCTAAGCCACTAATTACGCGCAGAGTTTCCGGTGAACCTAATGATCAATTATGTTGTTGATTGAGGGCCAACGACAATGAATGATTAATTATGTGTTTATTTACTACATCTGAGGGTCATACGTCATACTAAGATGTATGTGAACATATAAATGTTTAATAATTTGAATTTAAGCCAATGATACTGATTAGTTTTGTGAATTGATACATGATGATGAAGTGTGTATGTATATAAATATATGATTAACCACAAAATTCATTTAGGTAAGCAAGTTACAGCATCAATAAGCTGGTTACAGAGTTTAATGTATACATCAAGTTCAAGTATGTTTATTGAGATAAGAAAGAAATACATCTTAAGGGGATAGAGTAGCTTAGGCTATTTCTACCCCCTCTGTATACATCAATAGTCTTTCACAGCACAATTGGTTCAAGAGTTGGACCACAAGCTCAACAACCCATAATGTAGGCTAGAAAATAGATGATTTTTCACCCATAGGGTTATATACCCATGGAACCGCCTACCCGCCGAAGCCATACATGCCTAAAGTTTGCTGAATCTCAAAAGCCAACTCGTCAGGACAAATGGAGCTTGTCAAACGGTTTGACAAGCCGCTAGCGTCTTGTCCTCTATTCAGGAAGCGTGTATTATATAAATGCAAAGAACCAGATATAAACTGAAGAATATTATATACATATATATATACGTAGCGCAGAACAGTAGTTGTTGGAGGCCGGGACGAGATAATAATAATAATAATAATAATAATAATTTTTATTTAGGCAAAGGTACATACATAAAGAGAATTTACAAATATGTTTCATAACCCCTGATTCACTTGTTCATATAGCGTAAATAGGTTTCCTATTTATAAGTATATAAACAAGTCCACTACGGGCTCACCATAGTCCGTGCTGCTTGGGAGTTTTGTTCCAAGTATATGAATCTAAAACAACAAACAACAGGTATATAAATAGGAATATAAATAGGAGTTACAGAGAACTGTTGTGGGTTGGCTGCATCCTGGGAAAGATTGATTGATAAAGATTAAGCCACCTAAAAGGTGGCACGGGCATGAATAGCCCGTAAGTGGCGGCCCTTTTGAGCCAATACCAGTATCAAGAGCTGATACTGGAGATCTATGGAGGTGCGACTGCACCCTGCGTGACGGGAGATGTCTCCCGTCCCTGGGAAAGGTTAGTTGCTGGCCTAAAAGGACCTCGATAAGCTTTTAACAGACATCCTATCCCTGACTATGGGAACAATTCATGTTTTTTTGGAGTTTTCCGCTATATTTCTTTCTTTCTTTATTTATTTATTTATTTATTTATTTATTTATTTATTTATTTATATACAAGAAGGTACATTGGATTTGTGAGAATACATAGCTTAGTATTTACAATCTTGTAAAGCCACAATAGTACGCGCTGCGTTTCGGGCAGGTCCTTAATCTAACAGATAATTTTAAGTAGGTAAATTCTAGCAGAATTAATAAAATGATAACAGATACATTGCAAGAAAAAAATGAGATGAGAGATTAGTAAGTATATTAAAGCACATTTAATGATCATATATTAATGATCATAATATTTATGTCACTGACAAACATCGAGAGGAATGAATATGTCCCGTGTGTACGGACAGTTACCAATGCCTGGAACAAGATACATCCGACTCTTGTGGTTTGTGAGTGGTGTGGATGGTGAGGGTTGGTGTAGGTGATGGGGAAGTGTAGGGGGTGGAGAGGGGGTACTGACCCGTGAGGTTTGTGAGTGGTGTGGATGGTGAGGGTTGGTGTAGGTGATGGGGAAGTATAGGGGGTGGAGAGGGGGTACTGACCCGTGAGGTTTGTGAGTGGTGTGGAGGGTGAGGCTTGGTGTAGGTGATGGGGAAGTATAGGGGGTGGAGAGGGGGTACTGACCCGTGAGGTTTGTGAGTGGTGTGGAGGGTGAGGCTTGGTGTAGGTGATGGGGAAGTATAGGGGTGCATGGAAAGGTGGTACTGACCCGTGAGGTTTGAGAGTGGTGTGGAGGGTGAGGCTTGGTGTAGGTGATGGGGAAGTATAGGGGTGCATGGAAAGGTGGTACTGACCCGTGAGGTTTGAGAGTGGTGCGGATGGTGAGGACTGTTGTGGGTGATGAGGAAGAGGTGAGGAAGTGCTCTGAGGGGTCATCCCTGTCCTGTTATCCCAAACACTCCACAAACGGGTTCCTCCACTTGAGACAAAACAGTTAGTGAGAAAACACTTATCTTGCCACCATTTTTACTCTTGATAACACTGAAAATGGAGAGGTCTGATCTGGCAATTTCTCCTTGAATTACTTCTTAATTTCGTCTTTAGTTCAACATTCATAAGGCAAAAAGGATATTCAACGAAAATTGGTTCACTTATCCCTGCGTACTTTGTGAAAAACTAGTTTTCAGAATACTTTTTATTTTCGTTTGAGGTAAAAAAAAAACACGAACATGTGTGCGGGGAATAATACTCAATCTTACCTTTTAATGGCAGCTGTGTAACAAAAAGCCATTGTGCGAGAACCTGTAGACCTTAAAAAAAAAAAAGAGTCTTCGAACTCCCATTAGCTGGCGGCGGAGAACAATTAATTTCGAGTTGAAAAAATCTGTCACCTCACAGGAAAAAAGGCGGGGATAAATAAAGGCGCTTCGGCCAATTGTTTTGTTCTTTTCTTCCCCACCTCTCCCCCACCAATATCCTTCACCTTCAATTCCTCACCAGTAACCCATGGGCAGGGCAGGAGAAGCTCCTGCCCAGCTTCTCCACCTCCCTCTTACCCAACACACACACACGCGCCAATAATTTATCTTAGTTTACCTGAGAGCCACTAATACTAGTGGCCTCGACGAGGACAGGAAGCCGGCGGTCTGTCGAAGGTCCCCCCCATTGGCCTTGATGATCTTTTCCAGCAAGTTTACTTGTTTACTGAGTCCCCCATCCTGAGGGCGGTGGTGGGAAAGGTTAGACACACATATAATGGGTTCAGGAACTGAACCCCAAAATTAATTTGGCTAAGCAAGTTGCAGCACAGACGAGCTATAGTTACATCATAAACATTGGTTTTAAATATAGAAAAATGCAAGACCTTACATGAAGGGCATAACAGTGCACATCACAGCTACCAAATCAACAACATTACCTTACAACACACTGACGAATTAAAGGAGTTTGGAGTTAGAATCCACAAATCACTGAAAGTTTCACAATAAGTGACAGCTGCAGTAAAAAAAAAAAAACGAGGAATAGTGAAACGAATCTTTGACTTCAAGGACAAGAAGGTAGTTATTCAACAGTATAAATCTCTGATACAGTAGTCCAATTGGACTACTGTATACAAGCATGGAAACCTTACCTTCAGAAGGACATATTTTCTTAGTAGAAATGTCAACTGTTGACCAGACCACACACTAGAAGGTGAAGGGACGACGACGTTTCGGTCCGTCCTGGACCATTCTCAAGTCGAGTGTGTGGTCTGGTCAACATACTTTAGCCACGTTATTGTGACTCATCGCCTGCATAGAAATGTCAACACCTGGCAAGAAAAATCATCCCAGAACTAAGTGGCCTCTCATACCAGGAACAGTTGAGGACCTCAGAGCTAACAACACTGCATATTACCTGAGACTTAATAAGGGTCCAGGACGGACCGAAACGTCGTCGTCCCTTCACTTTCTAGTGTGTGGTTTGGTCAACATTTTTCAGCCACGTTATTGTGACTCCTCATTTGCACTGCATATTTCATGTGACAGGGCTGATCTCACCGAAGCTTTTAAAATACCGTACAATTTGGAGGATATTATTCCTGACCATTTCTTTAAAACGTCGGATGTTCCGCGAATAAGGATGTTCCGCAAATAAGGATGTTCCGCAAATAAGGATGTTCCGCAAATAAGGATGTTCCGCAAATAAGGATGTTCCGCAAATAAGGATGTTCCGCAAATAAGGATGTTCCGCAAATAAGGATGTTCCGCAAATAAGGATGTTCCGCAAATAAGGATGTTCCGCAAATAAGGATGTTCCGCAAATAAGGATGTTCCGCAAATAAGGATGTTCCGTGAACAAAGAACAAAGCTTCATGCTCAACAAGCCACAATGTAGGAAAGAAAACAGGAGATGATCTTTCACCAATTAGTTTCCACTGCTGCAATTCAAAATCCACGTAGATAAAATTATCAGGATAGATGGAGGGACCTTGAACAAGCAGCCGGCTTCCTGTCCTCATCGAAGCCACTAGTGAGATGATGACCCTCAGGTAAATTCAGGTAAATATTAGAACATAAACAAAAGGTGTTTGACACAGTGGCTAACAGAAGCCTGATACACACAAGCTGGAGAAACAGAGCCGTAGTGATAGGGAAGGTGTCACCCTGCTTCTCCTCGTGTCTACAATGTACCGAAAGTGTCCCATAGTCCTGGACTATGGTTCAGACTGAAGTATACTTGCTGGCTACTAAGTAAGTTATCGTGGTGGCCAGGATAACCCTCTAT